TGCTGATCTAGCAGTAGCCTGCAGTGCTGCTTTTAACCACTGCGCCACCTTGGCTCTTAAGGGCTGCGCGGAAGGCCTGGACGGTGGTGAGGGTGCGTATCTCAACGGGGAGATCGTTCCACAGGGTCGGAGCTGCAACAGAAAAGGCTCTCCTCCGTGTAGTCGCCAGTCGACATTGACTGGCGGATGAGATTCGGAGGAGGCCCAGTCTGTGCGATCTTATCGGTCGGAGGGAGGTAATCGGCACTAAACACTAAATGATGTTAGTTTGACCATTTTCTGGTGATGTATGTCCTGCAATGATGGGGAACTCAGGTCCCAATGGCATCTACAGTGGTGTCAACACAGGCAAGATAACAGTATTGTGTAAAATTGTGGCAAGCGTATAGAAGTGGCATTCACAATGTACATGTTCACAATGCTGTGGCCACCATGCTGCCTGTTTTCCTATATACATAGTGGCTGCTCTTAGGTCTAACCTACTCACAAGGTTATTATGGGGGAAATAGGAGGCAGAAGCATTATACAGCATATGCCACCTTGAATTATACAAAATGAGTGCTATACCAGTCTACTAAATGAATAAATTTAAAGCACCAGAACGGCTTATTTTTTTGTTCCTACTTGTGCACTAGGACAGTACTTATGATGACGGCCGTGGTTTAGGTTTTATGGTCATTCAGATTATCCTTCTTACAATATTGAACAAGGCCCCCCCCCCCGTACTTTTTGACCTAGAGAGGATTGCTGTATTGTCGAGATAACACAGAATGGATAGGTGTTTCTTTTCCAGCTTGTCTAAATGGTGAAAGACCACTTTGTCTCAATGGGCCAGAATGAGATTTAGGAAAATGCTGAACGGAATACAATTGATTGGAATGATACTTGATAAGAGACCTTAGGGACATGTCATTATGGAGGCAAGCCCAGAAATAGTCAGGAAGGTAGATTGGGACAAAGGTTAGGTCTGAATTCCAGTTGGGTGGATTTCCTATAAAGTCCTCATGTCTTATTATCTGTGCTGCCTGTGAAATTGCAGCTTAAAAGTGGTAAGAATAAGCTCTAGACAGTTTGGCCAGCTTTCTAATCAGTTGATCTATTGTTCTTCAGTATTTTGGAGGAAATCATGTGCCCTTGGAGGGGTCTATATGTTTATTTATGTAGCCAGTTACACAGTTACTCTTTTTCATAGAACTGTACTCTCCAAACGTCTTTCACTTTGTAGGAATCTTTGTGTAGATTCCTGTGTTTGTTCTTTGTTTTCCATTGAAGTTAGGTAATTATGAATTATTGCAGAATTGTATCTGCTGCAGCTAATTTACTCCTTAGAATGTTCAAATTGCTAAAGCCTTGCTAAACAACTGAACCCAATCAGCTATTAGTGATTCCAACAAATCACAGTTGGAATAAGTGGGCCAAATCATTTGTAAATGCAGAATCTCTACTTAGTTTCTTCAGGAAATGCTTTCTATCCCATAAGTCATTGTGCCAGGAAGGTACTGGCAAGACTTTCCCATTGGCAAGGGAGGCAGCAATAGACATGAGCTGGTCAGCATCCAGTCAGTGTTTGGGAAGTGATTTCTGAAAATCACAGATTTAGCCTTTTAGTTGGTTCTCCTCTCCAGCTCTTTCTCTTCAAGGACAGGATAGGTAAACTGATTTATTTAACTGGGTTTATGTATTTTTACAGAATGCTTATGTTTTGGGTTGAGCAGTCTTACATACTGTTTGTTTGTTTGTTTGTTTGTTTATATTTATTTATTTATATTTATTTATTTATTTATTTATTTTGTCAAACATGTACGAGATAACAGGTGTAAGTATAAACATGAAATGAGTACAAATAAATAGGGACGGTAGGACAGGGACGGTAGGCATGCTGGTGCACTTATGTATGCCCCCTTACAGACCTCTTAGGAGTGGGGTGAGGTCCACAGTAGACAGTTTGAGGTTGAAGCTGTAGGGGTTTGAGGATGTAACAATGGAGTCAGGTAGAGCATTCCAGGCATTGACCTCTCTGTTGCTGAAGTTATATTTTCTGCAATCGAGTTTGGAGCAGTTTACCTTGAGTTTGTATCTATTGTTTGCCCTTGGATTATTGAGGTTGAAGCTGAAGTAGTCATTGACAGGTAGGACGTTGTAGCAGACAATTTTGTGTACCATGCTTAGGTGGCATAGTTCAAGGTTCTCCAAGCCCAAAATTTCAAGCCTGGTGGCATAAGGGATTCTATTGTGAGCAGAGGAGTGAAGTACTCTTCTTGTGAAATACTTCTGGACCCGCTCAATTGTATTAATGTCTGATATAAAGTGTGGATTCCAGGCAGATGAGCTGTATTCGAGGATTGGTCTGGCAAAGGTTTTGTTTGCCCCAGTTAGCAGTACAATGTTACCGGAGAAGAAGCTTCACAAAATTAGGTTAACAACTCTTAATGCCTTTTTGGCAATGCTATTACAGTGAGCTCTGGGGCTTAGATCATTAGAGATGAGTACTCCTAGGTCCTTGATAGAGTGTGGGTCATCTGTGAGGTTGTATCCGCCCAGCTTGTATTTGGTGTTTGGTGATTTTTACTAGCTGTATTGTTTAACCAATCCCTTTTTTTAGTATTTTAATTGAAAACTTCACAGCTCACCTATTTAATAAGTTGCAGGAATGGGGAGAAAGTCATGGTGAGCAAGGATATTCTTCATATTGGTGGGGTTTCTTCTGTTTTGTCCTCTACCTAGTTCTACCATATGAAGAGTGAAATGTGAGTTAATCTGAAGAGCTGATTTTTTTAGGGTTTAATTCTTTCTTTGTTTGCTGGAGGCCGTCCTGATGCAGTCACGAGAGCTTGTTTCAGAGGAATTGGCGAGGCTCCAGAAAGACAATGAAAGCCTTCAAGGAAAACACTGTCTGCATGTGTCTTTACAACAAGCTGAGGACTTTATCCTTCCAGAAACTGGAGAGGTAGGATACCTCTTGGTTAATTTTAAATAGATTCATTTTGGGCACAATATTGGGTAAGAGTAAGACATTCTTGCAACTAAAGTTTTGGAATGATGGCCATCACTTTTTTTAAGATTAGAAAAGTAGAAACTTGTTTCTAGTAATGTATACGAGGAAATCCACATATTGATTATAATATTTATCTAAACTGAAATCTTAAATTAGTAAAAATTGCAACCCTTTCTGTGGTTATGCTTTGGTGTTTATCTCTCTTAATCTAGATAACTTCCAGTATATCTTGAACAATCACTGGTATTTTCACTCTAAAGCAGCTTGTACTATATTTTGTTATTATCTTATCTTTTGGTTGCATAAAAAAAGGAGTTTCTTAGTTACAAAGTGTATGATTTGCAGCTACATTCCTCCCATTTCTGCTTGAAATAATTTGACATCAAGGAAGATAGTGTATTATGCAATTGTGGTAATATGTTTTCAAATAACATTCTAAGCAGGATTCTTTGAAATTGTTACAGTCTGGAATTGTTGCTTGGCATCTGTAGTAAATGGATTAACAGAAGAAAACAATATAATGACTTTACCGCTTGGTAATTATTATAACTCCCCTTGTTTTTCCAGTCATCCTTAACCCGAGTCCCTCCAGCTTTTAACTTATATAGGTTACATATCTGACGGGAATGAGGTTGAGATAATTATATTAGGCCCCAAATTACATGAGCTGCTGGCCTTAAAAACACCTTTCTGGTAACTGACAACCCCAACATTCCCCATAGGCTCAGGAACTTGCCCTTGTGTGAAATATTAAATTAACAAAGTTGTTAATTTAAAATTGCTGTGGAATATTTTTTTAGTGTTAAACTCCTGCCTCCCCTTACCCTGTTTTTAAAAAAACCCTGAAAAATCTAGAGAATTCTCTAGACTTGGAATTACTATATTTTAAAGCGTTCAAGATTACTGTTTCCCCTTTTGTATCTTTCCCTCCTTTTGTCCTTTTTTAAAATCAGTTTCCAATCAAAGTCCCTTATAGTTTATTACATGGTGGCTTATGTATGCAGGAAGACAGTTTGACCTATATACGCCTTTGTTTCAGGGACTCCGTGAATTGGTCCTCAAGTATCGTGAAGACATTATTAGTGTACGAACTGCAGCCGATCATCTGGAAGAAAAACTGAAGGCAGAAATTTTATTTTTAAAAGAACAGATTCAAGCCGAACAATGTTTAAAAGAGAACATAGAAGAGACTCTGCAGCTAGAAATAGAAAATTGCAAAGAGGAAATAGGTGAGATTAGGCTCTGTTTTTATTTAAACATCTTTCAGGGAATTCCACTTTCCTTTCTAATTTACTAGTCCTGTCCTAGTTAATATTTACTGAATATGAGTCCATAAATGAAATTAAAACCTTTTCCCATCTTTTAACAGCTGCTGCATCTAGTCTAAAAACAGAATTGGAGCAAATAAGAGTGAATAAAGAGCAGGTAACTTATATAAAGACTTCAGAAGATGCTCAGTATGCCATGGCAAAAACCTTCCATCCCTTGATATTCTTCCCCCTCCCTCTCTGTATACTTTGGATTACATTGGTCTCCTATTCAAGGGTCTTCATGTCTGTCTCAAACATAGAATAAATCTTTATCTAGTACTGTGGTTATTCCAAATTATTGGGTGTGGAGGAAATGCTGTTCCTAGTTATGTTTTTTTCTGGGCATAAAAAAGAACTGCTAACAGAGGGGCAATGGAAAAGGAAATACATTTTGAAAGCATTTAAATGAGACCATCCAAATAGTGGTTCTTCATGCTTGTTTCCCTCTTTTCATGATAAAAGTTTCTGCCTAAAATTGAGGATCATATTCAAGGCTACAAGCTACTTTAGAATAATGGTAGTAAGGTACATGTCAAAGGACTAATTAATATTGTTCTCAGATTTTTATATATGCCTGGCAGAAAATAGCTTGCTCTGTGTATATCCTGACATCACAGTGGCAAAACAAGTAGTCAGAGAACAGATGGTGTCAGGGACTTCTGAGCAGCAGAGATTAAAATAATTGTTGATAACTTCAGTGTTTGTTTTCAATAAAGGAGAGGTTTAAATAATGCCACAAAAGATTTTACAAGAGCAAAAATGGATAGCCTGTAGAAGAGCCCTAAGTGGTTGGTTAGCGCTGGAGAGTTTTATACTCATTCAATCTGTCCTTCCATTTTCATAGTTGGAATCCAACTTGAAAGAAAAGATACAGCAGTTAGAAAACTTTGAGGAGAGAGAAAATGATCTTGAAGAACAGCTGAAGAAGGAAGTTGCCACAAAGGTAAATAATTTTGTATGACTGACACTAAAGGGTACCGAGTTGGTATACGGGAAGGGGGCTGAAAGTGGTCAAGACTAGTCACTGATAGAGGAACTGTTTGTAGGTCTGTTGCTCCCCTCTGGGAGGAGGTTTCGAAGTACCTGTAGCAGGACTGCCTGATTCCGTAACAGCTTTGTTCCTTATGCCATCCGTCTGGCAAACTCACAAGATTTGTTTCTCTTGCCATGTACATGTATACATTCAAACTAGACCGTGTTGTTGCTCCGTGTCATATATGTGGGTATATGTATAATTTTGTATTTGGTCATGTTTATGTAGTGTAGAGGTGGAGACCCTCTGAGAGCTGTATGCAACACAATTTAATAAATGCCAATTAGTGTACATTCAAAGTGACAATAAAGTTATCCTAAGTTCTAATTGGGACAAACAGTTCACAAAAGAAGGGACTTGAATGGGATCAATACTATATTTCTAAAATCAAAAAATCCAAACATATTTGAAAGGAATACAGGGAACAGACAGCCAGGCAGCAAATTAGATTCACTACAATATGAGCAATATATGCAGATAGGGAATGGAGGATAGGAAATGAGAATGAGCAATCCCAATTTCATACACCTAAAGATTGTGGTTTGAAGAATGGAATAGAATAGAATTCTTTATTGGCCAAGTGTGATTGGACACACAAGGAATTTGTCTTTGGAGCATAAGCTCTCAATGTACATGAAGCATAAGCTCTCAATGTACATGAAAGCTATAAGTGATAAATCGTGATCATAATCATCATATAAATACATTCATCATAAATCATAAGATACAACAGAGTGATAGTCATAGAATACAGTGCTGTACAGGTGATAACAGATCCTTCCTTTCCTAAAACCCTTCCAGTCTTCTCTGACTAGGAAGGGCCATCATGCAGATAAAGCACACACACACACCGCCCCCAATACCTCCAAGATGCAGAAATCATTGCTGTTTCCTTTCCCAGGCTAACTTAGAACACATGATGTTCGAGGAGAAGAATAAAGCTCAACGGCTTCAGACAGAATTGGATGTCAGTGAGCAAGTACAGAGAGATTTCGTTAAGCTTTCTCAGACCCTTCAGGTGAGGTGAACACTTGGGAACAAAGAGTGAAAAGTGTCTGTTCTTAGATTTTTCTAGCCACTAGAATTACATTTCTCTCAGATATATGTCCTATTGTTAACTCTACTTGATTGCTCCTACCTTCCAAGGTCACAAGGTTCACCAGGTTCTTCCCGCAAATAATGGTGATGAGTAAAATAGGTCTTGCTAAATTTGTTCTTCCATAGAATTATTTCATGCTCAGGGGAGAGGTATTTTTTCCCCCTTTGGAAATACTAGAATACTAGCGTAGGAAGCGATCTTGGAGGTTATCCAGGCCAGCTCCTTGCCTAATGCAGAATCTACTATCCATCCAGGCTCAGTTTAATTTCCAGCAGAGGAACATCCACCCCCTCCCTAGGCAGTCCGTTACATTTTTGGAACAGCCCTTACCATTTAGAAAGGTTTCCTGAGAGCCAACCCAGATTTTCCTCCTTGAATTTAAACAATTGTTCCTTATCCTGCCTTCTGAAACCCCTCTGAATTAATTACTCCCCAGCTTCCAGATTTTTGAAGACTGCTTTCATGTCTCCCTGTAATCTTACAGCTTCCAGGCTAAACGTACCCAGTACCTCTACCTATGTGTCTATTGATAAATCAATCTGTTGCTCTTTAAAGTTTATAACTAAGAGAAACTCATTCCTTTAATGTTATGTGTTGCTCATTTTTGCTCAGGTCCAGTTGGAACGGATCCGGCAGGCAGATTCCCTGGAGAGAATTCGTGCAATCCTCAATGATACAAAACTGACTGACATTAATCAACTACCTGAAACATGACAGCCTCAGTAGCAGAGCTGCAAAGCTACATTTTGGTGTTTTTTTTTAAAAAAACCTCCTCTTTATAGCAAAACCTTTAATAATTATTTAATTCTAACTGAAAGAGCAGAAAGATAACCCAAGAGTCATGGTCCAGGTTGTGTTTCTGGGAGGGAGAGGAAGGTTTTCTGGGCGGGAAGAAAGTTTCACACGGAGAAGATTGGCAGAACCCTCCAGGGTATCTGCCTTCAGTGTAGTTGGACTTCTCCATATAACTCATCTACCTTCATCCTCCTGCTCTCCTCCCTCCCAGTGATCCTGGAATACGGCATTCCCTTCCTCCCTCTCTCTCATCCATACCGTTAAATTACTGTGATGAAAGTAGTTGCTGAAAATCGTCTCCTCCCATCCCACCCCAAATCTTTTGGAGTGAAGTTACAATAGCAAGTTGGGCAGAAGGGGAAAATAGTATATTGTATTAATATTTTATATTAAAATATGAATTTATTTGCAGGACACTGGATTTTGGGTTTTTCTAGCTCAGTACATTTTTTTGTACCTTGAATGTTGTGCTGGAAGAGCCCCCAACTAAAAACATAGACAGAATATGGGCAGAAGAGGATTAGAGAGAAGGCTGCAATTTTTTTCCAAAAAGGCACAGGGGGAAAATGGATAATTAGAATGGGAAAATAAGTCACCTAAATTCTTAAGACACAAAAGTCAGGGAAGTGAAGGTTAATCATCATAGAAAGAAAAGCAAATGAAAATAAATTGCTTTAGTATCCCTCATTACTCCCCCCCCAAAAAAGCTACATTGCACAATATCAGCATATGGCTGCATCCAGCATTACACTTTTCTCACTGAAATACATGGACTTGAGTTCATCACATTTATCAATACGCATTTGATTACCATGGCGTTAAAAAACCTAAGCCGTATCATACTTCTAGTACAGAGGTGTTTTGCGAATCTCTACCCAGATTCTAGAACAGAGATGTCAAACAGGCATCCTACAGGCTGGATGCGTCACATGCAAGGCATGCCCACCCCACCTCCATGCATGGGAAAAACAACATATGACGGCAACATGACGTGGTAGGTTTGACACCTGTGTTCTAAAAGGCCTTTTGCATTGTATTTGTTTGAAGATTGGGTTTAAAATTATACATTTAAGATAATGCTACAACACCTCTGAGATAGGAAACGTTTGTGAAGCTGCAGTTATGTTTATGCTTGGACTGAATGTTTCTCTTGAAAAGCTCATGATACAGGTCTGGAAAATCTTGTTCTGGACTTGCAATCAGAACATGCAAGATGCATTAAACTCCATAATAGAAGGGTTCCAGCAGAACGTGAATGCAACTGATTTGCTGTGATCCAACTCTTGAGGGAAAAGGAAGATGCTTTTCTAAATTTAAAATGGAACTTTTAAAACAATGTAATTAAAATAACTAAAAAATTTCCAGTCAGAAGGCTGCATGATTACCTGGGTTCCAATAAGAGCTTCTAAAGCCCTAGGAATTGTTTTAAATAGGATGAGTGTAAAGTAGATAAAATGTGTTTAATCTGTATTTCTATTGGATTTTATTCTTGTGGTCAAGCAGTAGTTGAACAGATCAGTGTTGAAATGGGCTAATGGAGTTGCAAGCAAGTGTTCATTCCCAATTCTTCCACACCTGCTACCAAGAGTGTAACTATCAGTTTTGACATTCATTTTCTAAAGACCAGAATCAATCTAATTTAATCATGTTTATTACTTGCTTCTTGAACAGGCAAGTATTGATCCAATAACTGGTTTGTAGATCGGTGTGAGCAGCTTGAATACTTTCCCATTGTTGAAAGAAAGCTTTCACTCTATTTTACTTTTTCGGTGGGCAATGGAGCTTATTTGTTTCAGGTTTTCTGGATACTAATTGAGGTGAGGAGGAGGAGGAGGAGGAGGAAGAGTGTGTGGGCAACTTGATTCCATGTAAATTCTAACTATGTAACTGGTACAAAATCAAAAAGCATTTGCTGGAATCCAGTCTGTTTCAATCTGCTGGTTAGAAAAAAAAATATGAAAAACATTACAGGGAAACTATAAGCGGACTTATTCTTAGAAATGAAGAGTTTACTCTAATGAAGTTCATTAGCATGTTTCTTTGCATCTTTAATATCGTATTAGAAATGAACTTAACCCTTCTTCCTTAATCCTGCTCATGCAATTAGTACATCATTAACTTTGAGCAAAGATAGCTTTCCTTTTAGGAAAGGAGCATTTTCAAAGACCCCTGCCTCATCTAAGCGTTTGTATTAAATTGGCTAAAAACCATGTGTTGTGTTAATTGGGAGGCAATGCTATAATCTCTTAAATGGTGAGATTAGCTATGATACACATAATGAAAGGATTATACCATGAATCAGACGCATAATATTCTATTTAGCATAGCGACCAAGTACTGTTCTGCTATTCATCCTGAAGTATTTCAGAATCATTGGGGAAAGAAACAAACTTGTGGAAGAGAACGTAGGGAAGATAGATCTGTAGTACTAAATTTAAATTGTATACATTTAATTAAACAAATATTGACAATGTAAAACTGTAAATCCACAAGTCTACAAACCCGAGAAGAATATGCTGCTAGTTCACACAAATTTTTTTAAAAGGGAAAATTAGTTTTAATAGCAGGAAATCCTTGTTTTTCAAAATTGATCTTGAAATTGAATTGCTTTCATAATTAACTTTTTTTTTTAAAAAAAAGGCTGTATGGCTGACTTTTTTTTAATGTTATGATTGATTTATGCCATTAGTTTTCAGTTCTCTCATTCAAAGGCTTAGCTACTACAAATAGGTATTATGCAGTGACCAGTACTGATTTAAACAGGAATTGTGTGCAAAATGAGAGGAAAGAACAGTAAGGTTAGCTCTGTTCTGTATATTGTACAGTCCTTTTGTATGCAAAATGTATACTAAAAGGTCAAAGAATTACTGGAAGACTTGTACAGTCTTAATATGTTCACAACAGGTTCTTCCAACATGTCAAATGGTTTACTTTCACTTCTGTATCTCCTATGGCATAACTATATAGCTTCTAACAACACTGTGTGGACAAGAATAAGGGTGGGAGATGGGTAAGTAATCTATAAAGCCCCTTACTTTAAAAAAAACTAACCTTCAAATTCCACTTTTGGAATTATATTGCATTCCAGCAAAAGCCACTGGTGTCCTGTGAAACTGTGGATGTAAAATTATCCTGTCTATTGAATTAAAAAAATGTAACCATTTGTTAACTGTAATTGGAAGTGTATCCTGCAAAAGTGTTCCAAATTAAAGGAGAAAAGTCTTGCAATTCTTTTCATACCTTCTTTCTATTTAAATGTATTGTGTTGATCTAAGAAGGGTTTATACAGTTAGCTCAGAAGATGATCTATATGGAAAGATTTGGTACAGTGGTTGTATTGATTTTTATTTTGAAATGAACAGTGTGTTATCACAAACATATATTTAAGTTGAAGACACAGGAAGTACAAAATTCCCTTACTTTTTCCCCACGAAGTATCAAAAGGGCGGAAGTGAAATGTCTTTAGCATTAGGCCTTCTGTAGAATGCTGCAACATGCATTATAATCAGATGCATCCTCTAACGAGTATTTAATAGTGGCTCTTTTTGTAAAAAATAGTTCCGTTTATAAATTAGGAAAAAGGCAGCTGGTTACGTTTAATATTCCAAAAATGTAAGTCTTTAGTCTGATGACTAAAAGGTGACGTGATTCCTGATGTCATTTATTTGTTTCACCATCTCCTGAATGTGTTCTCCCCTGAAAGAAAAAAAAATGTTTTCTTTATTTCAGTGCTGAGCGAGGGTAATAAGACAGACTGTAATTTAAATCTTTAAATTTTATGCATTTTGGTTAGTGCAGTAATTTTTTCTGTATAACTAACACCTACAGAGTCTCACAAATTGCCTTCCTCTTACTGGAAATATAATTGTGGGGGGAGGTTGTATGTCACTCTCACAAAGCTGGTAAACACAAATATTTAGGATCTATACAATTCTGGCCAGAACGTAACACTTATATACAGCGTAAGTATAGCAGCTGTCAGCAGCCTAGAAACTCAAGCAAGATGGAAGCCTGTGCACTATGCATGCATTTGCCATTAGTCAAATATTAATTATGCAAGAAAATAATCGTTCAGTTCAACAGGCAATTGACTCACTCCTCTTTCAGAACAGCTTGGATACATTTCCTCTGATTGGTGCTGAGGTTGATGCTCGGCTTCTGTGGACTATTTCCCTTCTCCATTTTTTTCTGCTGATAATCCTTTTTCATTTTAACCTAGAGTACAGAGAAGCAATACGGAGAAAAAACTCAAAAGTTACTTTTATTGTTCTCATAAAAGAGAATATTTGTAGGTCAGGGTTGAAATGAGGGATCCTTGGTGCTCTCTGAGCTTGCTTGTTATCTTGCAGACATTTCATTACTCTAACTAGGTAACATCATCAGTACTAGTGAGGAGTGCGGTTTGCTGTCAGTTTATATTCCAATGTCTTGCCTGTCTGTGGGTGGGGAGGTCTTAAGACCTTTTTTTGGTTGGGCTGTTTACTGATGGCTCTTTGGCAGTTTCTTGATTGGAGTTTTGTTTTCTTGACTATTGGTCTGAAGTTAAACTAGGAGTTAATCTATGCTGATTCAAGAGCTGATTACTGGTGGCTGATTTGTAAGAGAACCAGGCTTCTAGAAATTTCCTAGCTTTTTTGTTGTTGCAGTAAGAACAATGTACGAACTGCAACAATCATTATGTAGACCAGGGATGTCAAACTCATGGCCAGAAGGCCGGATGTGTCGTGCATTGCCCACGCCTGGTTTAGCAAAGGGGGGGGGGAGTTGCAATACGTCACGTGGCGACACCATGGTGATGCAAGTTTCACATCCCTGGTATAGACGAATTGGCAGAATGCATCCATAAACACCAACTGGCAGTCAGAAGACACGAAAATTCTTCAATTTCACAACATATAGACAGATTTAACTATAGTTTCAATTGGGAAAATCCTAGATCAGGCCAAGTCCAAAAATGCCAGGGAATTTCTAGAAGCCTGGCACTCTGACAAATCAGCCCTCAATGACGCATAAACATTAACATCATCTGAAAAAAAGATTATCAACCAGCTCAAAAGGGAAAGAGTCCAACACCTTTCCATCAGTAATCTGCACTCAGATCAGCATAGATTAACTCCTAGGTTAACTTCAGACCAACAATCAAGTAAGCAATACCCCAAACACGAAATGGCCCAACCAAAGAATCCCTAAAACTGCCCCCTCCCACACAGACAGGCAAGACACCAGAATACAATCTGACAGCAAACAGCACTCCTTATATAGCACTGATGATGTTACCTAGTTAGGGTAATGAAATGTCTGCACAATAACAAGCAAGATCAGAGAGCAGCAAGAACCCCTCATTTTATTTTTCTAGATATGCCACTTGCCTGCTTGATAGCATTGCCTAAATGCCGCAGTTGTTCTTGTATTGTTTGTAGCTCCTTCTTCATATCCTTTTCACTATCGGACAGGACAGGCAGCTGTGAGTGGAAATTACGGAGAACTTTCTTCATCCTGTAGCCACAAAAAGAATGTCAGGTTTCTAACAAGGGGCAGTGGAGGCGGGGATTTTCTATGCATTTTCAGACTACATAACTAAGTATCTTCTCAGAATAGTGCTACACTTATACAATATATAGCCATTCCTCTCAATTTACATGTAGATTTTAGTTTCTTATTTGGTGAGGTGTGATGTATGCTTTTGTTCAAAAGTAAATTAGTTTCATTTTGATAATTAAATATTAGCACACTTATTGGTTATTCTAGCTGTTTGATGTTTGACAAGGAAAAAGAGGTACAATAGCATACCCTGTTTCCCTAAAAATAAGCTCTCCCCGGATAATAATCCCAATCGGGCTTTTGAGCACATGGGCTAAAATGAAGCCCTCCCTGAAAATATTGCAACACAGCAGCAGCCATGAGGTGACCATGCTTGCCGCCTACTGCACCTCAAAAATAATAAGACCTCCCCTAAAATAAGGCCAAGCGCTTATTTCGGAGGTTAAAAGAAAATAAGACCCTGTTTTATTTTCAGGGAAACATAGTAGTATTACATAATTTTTAGAAAACTAGCAACCCCTTTTTTCTAAAAAGCTAAACACTGCTAAAGTGATTTTCATTGAGCTAAACAATAATAATTGACTTTGGTTTGACTTGGCAGAATCTGTGAACCCGGTATGTTTATCTGGTATTTAAGTGAAACAGTTCCACAGGTAAAACTGCTTATCCCTTTTCATTTTGCTGGGTGTAGCTTGCAACTGCCTTTCCATAAACTTAGCTTTTTTCTATAATACACATGCATTATGGTTTAGGTTTAGGTTTATTGGATTTATATGTCGCCCTTCTCCCAAGGACTCAGGGCGGCGTACAACATAAAAGAAAACACATATTACAAAAATTAAAAGGGACATTAAATAAAGTATCCAATTAGACTGACTATGGTCCGCCCTGCTTTTAAGTAATCCCTATGAATGCCACCTTTGTCCTTTTTGCAAATTTGTCCAGTTTCTGCTTTATCTCCTCTCACTCACATGGGATGTTCTCATGATTGGGTGGATTAGAAATAATTATTTAATAAATAAAAATGGGAAATCTATTTGGACAGACCCAGACTATCTTTTAAGACTTCATTATATTGACTTATGCAAGGAAATGAAAGGAAGTTTCATCAAATCTCAGCATTTTCTCTAGACTCAGAGAGCTGTTGCTAGTTGGTGAAGAAGCTAGCTATTTCTTTTTTCATCTTTTTCTTTTCCATTGCACTTATAACTTATTCCATCCTTTATCTGACCAAACAGATTGTTGAGCATGGGGCCAAACATCAGCACTGCAAAACTGGACAGTTAATTAAGATTAAACTTTTGCTACTACAAGCTCATTATATTTTTAAAACTATACCCCATGGCATGGGCCCAAGCTACAGAAATGTAAGATGCTGAGCTTGTCGATCAGAAAGGTCAGCAGTTCAGCGGTTTGAATCCTAGTGCTGCATA